CTCTGAGAGGCAGCAGCAAATGCAAGGACTCTACAGGCAGACAGTGCTGTGCTGAAATCTTGGTTCCACACCTGGCAAGTTGTTTTGATTGTTGACAGTGTGTGAGGTGGTGTTTCAGTTGCTGGGGATAGAGGCAAAGCTCTGCCCTTGAGGACCTTACTTTCTTTTGGAGAAGAAAAGTTACTAATGCCTACAGGCATATATTGTAAACTAGATAATTTCAGATAGTGTAATAGCTATAAGAAAGTAAAATAGAGTGATATGAGTGCATGTAATCTACACTGACTCTCGTTTAGAAGGGTATTTTTAAGGCTGAATAGAGAAACCTCTCTGAAAAGGTGACATCTAATCTGAGATGGTGAAAGTGCCCAATGCAAGGGAAAAGTGAAAGGAAAGAGCAATGATAATGCCAAATTGGGGGGGGGTGCAATGGGAAAGCTCTTGACCATTGGATAAAAAGGATTAGGGGCCAGGCATTTAGCTCAGTGGTGCTGAGCCTGCCTCGCAAGTGCAAGGTCCTGAGTTCAATCCCTGGTACTGCAAAAAAAAAAAAAAAAAAAAAAAAAAAAAGGAATAAAGCTAGTCTAGCTAAAGTAGTGAATAATGGGAAACACTGAATAGTTCGTGTTGGAGATGTAGGTAGTGCCAGATGACATTGGGTTGGGTGGACCATATAAATATGCTCAGATTTTAATCTAAACCATTAATCTCTCTAAGACTTGGTCTCCTTAACCAAATAGAGATATCTCATAAAGTTGTTCTGAGAATGACAAGTTATAATTTTTATACACTAATTAATTCAGTGAACCTTTACTTAAGTGTATACCCACTCCAGGCATTGAGAAAAAAGAGATGAGGAAGTTATGGCTTGTTGCCAAGGATGTCATGGTTGAGGTAAGAGATGGACCCATAAAATAAACATTGTAACGTAATATAACAAAGAGAAGAATAGATAGGCATTTTCTTTTCTTTTCAATTCTTTCCATTTCACTATCTGTAACTGAATAAGGGCCACCAGCACCCCTTTTCTGAATTTCTTCTAGAGCTTTTTGATTCATCTCCTACACTTCTAGTTCTGCTGTTCTTTAAAACATTCCTCATGTTGCTCTAGAATTATGCTCCTAAAATTCAAATGTTAATTCATTCAAGTATATTTACTATGTGTCTACAATGTGCCATGTTCCCTTCTGTGTACTCATAAAAAACAGTAAATAAATATCACTTAGAATTTGACTAAAATCCTTTAATAATTCCACATTACCCTTAAGGTATAATATAAATTCCTTGGCTTGGTGTATACAGTTTTCAGCCTTCTTGAATTCCCAAGATACTAATATGAATGGAGACCGAATACCATTTGTCAGCTTATAAATTAAACTATCAAACTGTTCTTAAAACTGTTCTGCCTTAATGCCTTGACTAATGTAACTTCATGAGCCTGGAAGGCCCAATTCAAATTTAAAATTTTTGGACTTCTCAGAGTTCCAGACTAGAACCTTGAGGTACCTACTGTAAGACTTAAAGCTCCTGCCCAGTGTCCTTTCATCCCATACTGCAGAGTGCCTTGTACACGAGCCTTCGGGCACCTCAGTTCTCATGTCCTGTCTCTATCCACCGTCTCCCCAAACAATGGTTTCTTGATTATCTCTTAGATTTGCACAGTTCCTGAAGTCTCAGGACCAGTGTGGCAAAACATTTAAAGGTTCCAGTTATTCAAAGCCTCGTCTAAAAGGAGACATCATTTCCAGGCGGACAAATCCTCTCAATTCTGGTTTACAACTCCTCATAATATAGGAAGGGCCAAGGATGAATGACAGTCCAAGGACACTCTTTAAAGTATACAGTTCAGAATAAAGTCCCTTCTTACCAATATCTAAGAGCAGTTCTGTTAACTCTTCCATCTTTCTGCTGCTTGTCCCTTTACTACACTCTCACACACTAAAGTTCCACGAAAGTTTTCAGATCTCTTCAGGGTCCATGCTTTACCCTACCCTCATCTTTGCCTTGAACATCCTTCCCAATCCACTCCATCCCTTCACCTAATTCCTGTTCTGCTGAAGTCTCAGTTCAGATACTCCTTCCTGTGGAAAGTCCTCTCTGTACACCCCTGTGGTAATTTTAAATATGTCTTCAAATTCTTTGACACTCCCTCTATCAAGAGATAGTATCTAATTCCATCTTCCTTAAATCTGAGTGGGCTTGTGACTCCATAGGAAAAAAGACAATACTTGTGAGGTTAGATCATAAAAGGTTATGAACCTTTTACCTTGTTTACTGAAATCCTTACTGTTGGAGTCCTAGGCTTCCAAGTAAGAGATTTGGCTAGTCTGAAGCTTCTATCATGAAAAGGTCTTGTGCAGGCACTTGGAACAATAGTCCTAGCTAAGCCCACCCTTCTAGCATATGAAGACCAAGTGTTTGTACCATTTTGCCCTCTCCTTTCTGCTATGTGAGAGCACAGCCAAAAGCAGCATCTTGAAGCAGAGAAAGAAGGTTTTCACCTGACATAGAACCTGCTGGGATCTTGATCTTGAACTTCTCAGTATTCAAAACCTTGAGAAATCAATTTCTTTTGTGTGTAAATTATCTAGTCTCAGATGTTATAGCAGCACAAACAAACTGGGACAGAAACACACAAAGTTTTAAAAAGATTTATAACAGTGTGAAATGAAAGATAAAGAAAGAGTATAAAAGGAAATGAATTTGGATCTTTGAACTTCTATGAGCAAGAAATGCACTGAGAAAATGATTCAGCTGCAAACAGGACTAGGATGACTAGAGGGAGAAACCAAGAGCACAGAGAATGGCCAAGTGAATCAGAGAGCATAATCAAGTCTTAGCTAAAGGGGCCGGTATGTTTCTTATTGAATTTCAGAGTTAAGAATCAGTTTGCCTTCTCTGACAGCCCTTTCCCTTTTCAAACAGGACTGTAGAGTGTAACTTTCCTATTTCTTCACACCAATGTAAAGTTGGTGCTTATTGCATTTATGGAGACATGGACCGAAAAATTGTTCTTTTAGTTACAGGTGTTCAGATTAAGAGAAATTGTATCCAAGAAAGAGCACTGGAGGAAAAGTTATTTATTTTCTTCTAGACCTAATTTTACTAATGTGATTATAGATCTCAGGCCTGCACTTGATGCTATAATTGGGTAAGACTTATAAAGAAGGAGGAAATAAGTGACTTTTTCATATATGATAAATTATCATCTAAACTCATCCAGATACATTTAGATAATTTATGCAATAGAAGTGACTATGGCAGTTTTGAATCATAACTACATATTCTTTAATATTTCTTCTATTGAGAGATGGGTATTAAGTCCTCTTTTTAAAAATCTGGATTGAGCACTTTTTGTTTCTTTCTCTTTTATTAGTACATGTTTGCAGTACATGATGTTACATTCATCTTGGGGAGTTGGTACAAGTATATAACAAAGCTTGTTTCTTTTTGTAATCTCCTTTCCCTTCTCACCCACCTCCCACCCTCTACCTTTAAATGCTCTTTCATCGTTTTTTGAGGGTTTTTTTTTTTTTTTTTTTTTTTTTAACCAGGGATAGAACTCAGGACTTACACTTGCAAGCTGGGTGGCAGCACCACTTAACTAAATCCCTGGCCCTCTTTCCTCATTTTTATTCTTGTTATTATTATTTTAGCTCATGTTTATAATATATAATGTTTACCATCTTTATAAGCCCTCTCTTTTTGAACCTAGGAAGACTTGTAATTGCTTTGACTAATATAGTCTAGTTATTCCCAGCAAGGAAAAAGACAAGTTAGTAAAGGCATCTTGAATCTTACCAACTAATCAACCTTCTAGCTGAATATTACTCAGTGACTTCTGACAACATCTCTTTGAAGGAAAGAATCACCTGGCTGACCTCTGCCCATATTCCTGACCCCAAAACTAACAAATATATAAATAAATGGCTGTTGTGGTAGGCCACTACATTTTGAATAGTTTCTTATACCGTTATAAAACTGGAACACCACTCAAAGCTGGCTTTAAGCACCCTGTCTCTGCTTCCATTAAACCTTGTCTTTTTACCACACTGTGGTATAATTTTCTATATACTGGTCTTTATCATCTTCCTTACGAAAAATTCTTAAGGATGAGGGTGGTGTCCCCTCAAGAGCAGTGGGTTGCATAATAGGCACTCAATATGGTCTCTTCTTCCTTTTCCTTTTATACAAAAACTTGCTCTAACTAGCTACACAGGGAAGGTTGTAGTAGATTGAGAGTCTTAAGTGTGCTTTGTTTTAGTTTTCTGGTCTCACTAGGCTGAGTTTGGGTTCTCTGGCTTCCACAGTATGCCTGGTCTGTCTGTAGATATTTATATGAGGGGCACCCTCTAAAATAAGGAACAGGTCCAGGGCAGAAGTACACATGGATTTGAAACCAAAGTGGATAATTACTGTGCAGAAACATGTTTTGAGTTTTGCCTCTCCCAGAACCTTTGAAAAATAGAACATAATGTGTAGCCAAACCCCAGACACCCCTGGGTTTGCACATCTCTAATAATCCCATCCAGATACATTTACTTCCACATAATGGAGTTCTGCTTCCAAGATTTTTCCAGTCCGAAAAACAACTCTTAGAGAGAATTGCTCTTCTGTGAGCAATAGCCTGCCTGATACTCCCACAGCTACAGCCACCCAAAAAATTTCAGGCCTAATCCTTAGTCCTAGTTCAAAAATATGCTCTTTATTTAAATGTCTGATGAGTCTACCCACTGAGAAGTCCTGGGATCAGCCAGACTTGAATCCCAGCTCTGGTTCTCACCAGCTATGTGACTGTCAGCAAGTTACTTAATCTCTCTGAGCCTGTTTCTACACAAGTAAATGGGGAGAATAATAGCATAACCTTAAAAGGTTGTTGCAAGCATAGATGAGTTAATGGTCCTACAACACTCAACCATGTTGTGTACACAAAATAATAAATGATTGCATGCTACTTATAAATGTTATTATTTCAATATATTCTCCCACTCTTTCAACAGGTTGTCAGATTGGATGGGGTTGACATCTCCTGAAGATTGCCTGACTGTATTCAAAGACATTGAATTAATTGGTTAAAATCACCCTGGCAAACAATTACTCTGCTTCTTTAGAGAAAAACCCCAAAAACTTTCCTGTGGGGAAAAGTGATATTATAGAGAGAAAAAGAAGGAATGTTCCAGTTTTTCTTCAGTTCATGACCTACTTGCATGTTCTTATGATCCCTACTTTTATCCTGTCTAATACAGACTTCTGAAGTTTCACTGACCATTATTTTCTGAACTGCAAATAGGGATCTGTGGTCTCACAAGTACAAGTGTTCTTAGTGGAGCTACATGAGTCAATATTTTAAATTGGGACAGCTCTAGAAAAATGTAGGACATATGGTGACCATACTCAGAGTTCTCAAAGCCAGATGCTGACTGGCTCCAAGAGCAGAAAACCAAAACAATCTGAAATCTCTACTATTTGCCAAAACAAATCTTGTGTCTCTCCCAATGTTATTCCTGTAGATATCTTTGTTTGAATTGGCCTGTTCACCAGTTTCATTTCTGCTACCATCTCTGGGGATGAGGGAAAGAAAACACCTTGTGTTCACTTTGTTAACAAGGAACTATCTTTCAGGTGCTTTACTGGAGTGACAGAAATTAGGAAATCTTTTTTCATTCTTTCCTTCTTTTCTCCATTTGGGGTATCTTCAGGTATTGCTTTTCCTTCTGGTCATTTGCTAATTAATGACAATAATAACATTGTTCAAAAACACATTTTAGGATATTTATCATACATTTGCTCCTAAATATATTTAATTCTCACAGTGAACTTATAAGACAGATGTCATTGTCTCCAGTTTACTATAGCCTAATCTTTAGAATATTAAACTCATAGAATTAATAAATCATAGAAGAACACCGAAATTTCTGACTCACAGACTCTCCATTCCATGTTGTTACCTCCCATAGATTGCCTTGTAAGAGGTAGATTTAGTTTCAGTTAACATATACTGGGCATTTACTGGGTGATGTGTTAAGCTATTTAATAAATTATTACTCTAATCCTGACAGATATCTCATGATATAGGTAATACTACTATCATTTTTGAAAGTGAAATTTGATACCAAAAGATTAAGAAATTTTCCTAGAAGACTCTAATTTATAATTAGTGGAGATGAGTATCGATTTTTTTTCCTTGATTGAAGTTTCAAAACCCTTTCTAAATCTCTATCTGATAGCAGAAGTCCAAAATGTGATGTATATCAGGAGGATATTGAGGGAGGAATGCAGGCACTGAAGGTGGTATCAAATACTTCCACAGAATCCCATCCCCTAATGTGGTAAGTGGAGGCTCTAGAGTTAGTAAGTGCAAAAGACAAGAGAAATGGGCAGGAAATTTGAGAAAGGAAAACCAAATCTGCTCGGTATCACTTGTCATAGTACTGTGAAGCCTTGGTTTTGACATTTTAAGTGATCTTTATTTTAATCAAGGGTATTGACAAGAAAAGGCTTCAAATGACTGTTTTGATTCTTGAAGCAAAGAGAAACACAAAATAGAATTCACAGCAGAAAAAATTGATATCAAAGAGTAAATATCAGAAAGTAAAAGTAATTTTGATTTTTGTCTGAGAAATAGAATGCCTATTTTTATTTGATTCCTCTATAAATCAAAAAAAGGACAAGATATGAAAAGTTAAAGTCTAATTTTCAGCTGAGATATGGCATGATTCCACCTTCCAACTTATCTTCTCCAATATTTTGGCTGCTGAAAGACATTTGACTTAGTATAAGGAAGTTATGGGGAAACTGTAACATTTACTTTGTTCATTTTTTTTTTTTGGTACTGGGGATTGAACTCAGCACCTTGTGCTTGCGAGGCAGGCACTGGCTCCACTGAGCTAAATCCCTGGCCCTACTTTGTTCATTTTTTGATCTCATACTCCTTAAATCATATTTTCTAAATAAATGCCCACCAATCTCCAGTTATAGAAATAATGCATGCTCATTAAGGTAAATGTGGAGCAGACAGAAAAGCCAAAATGTCAAAATAAAAATTTTCCATAATTCTACTGTCACAACATTGCTAACACTTTGATATATTTTCATCTTTATTCTATAATTAAGGTTAAAAAAACTGTCTTTTACTCAAAATGTATCATAAGTATTTTCTGATGACATTTGTGTTTGATGACGTAGATGTTAATTACTATCTAAACTTGCATCTACATAATGTATTTAAGCAAAGTCTGCTTTTGGATATTTAGATTAAGTTAAAATTTTTACCATTGTAATGTGGCCTTATCTTTGTACATAGTCATTCCATGGCCATGCCTTTTTTGTCACACCCTTTGGTTCAGAGTTTCTCAGATTTTTTCTGTACCAAAAAAATTAATGACACACGTAAGACTTTTTCTAGAGTTATCTTAGACTTATCTAGGGTTATAACCAGTTTCTATATTTTAATAAAATGTAATACATTTACATTTTTGTCTTCAAATAAAGGGATAGAAGAGTGAAAATAAATTAAAATGATATAAGGAATTTCCATGCATCCATTATATTGTATAAAATAATTTATAAATTTCAGTTCTTTGGTATTACTGATATCTTTTTAAACATATCATATAATTGATTGTGTCACCTCATTGGAAAGCCACTGTTTAGCTGACCCTGGCATGCACCCTGTACTTTCTGAGTGGCTTAGGTATGCATTTCTCACTAAAGATCCTAACAAGCTATGATTTTTTTGTCTTTAGGAATAAATAGGCTTCTAGTAATAAATTACAATCTGTAGACAGAATTAGGCCTTCATTTTGACAAGAGAGTAGCTGAAACATTGGGGAGGGCTGCTTAAGTGTCAATGGATATTTCTAAAGTGTGCATCCTTCATCCCAGCCCTGTCCAGATTCCTGGTCATGCCCCTTTCCCATGCTTCCAAGCTCTAAATCACTAAGGCATTGCTAAAAAGGGTGTTAAAAAGCCTTTTTGTTCTCTCAGACTGGTATTTTTGGATTGAAATTCTACCTAATTCAGCTGCCTACCTCTTCAAGTTTGAGTAAGTCCACAATAAAATTCTTCTCAGTTTGAGTGATATGCAACCAGTTAAGAGCAAGGAAGAGTAGATGAGCAGAGGCTCCCAGGTGTAACAATATAATCTCCAGAGAAAGTGTCCCTACTTGAAGCATTTGTAGGATGGGTACTTTACACAATTCAGAGGTGGAATCCAGACCTCTCAACTAGAGATGATATTGGCAAATCATCTCATCTTAATGGGTGTGAATATTGCACCTTAGAATAATCTAATCATAGGCAAAAGACTTTTAGGTACTGGAAGTTTCATAATATTAATTGAATTTTTTTCTGCAATGATAGCACTGAAACATGAGCTGGCTTTTCCTAAAGGGGATTAATTTTTCTCATAAAATAAAAAAATGCTTACCAACCACATTACAGGAATGTCACAGGGATGTCACTAGACACAGGAAAAATGAGAACCAGAGACCATATATGGTGTTAGACTCTGGTCTCTTTTGGTCACTCTTTCCATCTTTTGCCTAGGTTTCTCACATATACTTCATTCTGTGTCACTAAAAATTGATTAGTTTTGTCCACATTAGTGAAAACACATTTTAGATCTTATAGTTTCTAACTGAGGAGGATTGACAGATTTTCTACAAGTCCAAAACTACTGGGAAAAGACTGGTTGATTAGCTGAATTCAGGTGTTCAGATAAAGACCAATAAATTGTGGACAGGAACTGTGGTAAGAAAAATTAACATTAGAGAAACGGACGAGGAAATTTTCTCTGAGAAGTATTTACTTGATCAGCTTGCTTAGAAGCTTTAGTATATTTCAGATGATTTACTAAAACGGGGAGAGACAGGGCCATAGAAATTGGAAGGAGGAGAAAGATTCATATATATACGCATATGTGAGTCACTTATTTTTTCTGATGGTTATGGCTCCCTTCCTCCCCCTCTGGAACTACAGTTCACAAAGAGAAGCCAGAGGTCATCTTTTCCGGCTTAGGGAAGCAAGAACTGGGTGTATTTTGCACGGTGTCAGCTTTCTCTGGCCAGTTTCCACTGCATAACGGCAGAGCTGTTTACTCTTTCCCACACCCTGGCATTCAGCAGACTGCTACCTTCCACTGCAGCAAGCTGGAAATCGTGAACTAATAAGAAACATACACATAAGCATTCAAACCAAGTTTTTAAATAAATGATCATAGCCCTGGTTGGTAATCATTTGAATAATTTGTTGGGTTGTCTGTAGACTGTGTGTGTGGGTCCAGGGTTTTCCATGCATGTCATGTTGCAGAATTTCTGGCTTGCCACAAAAGTCTATTTACTGCAGAAGAAAGGCAAGTTTCTGCTAAACATCACATTGGAGGGTAGATGGGCTTCTCAGGCTTTCAGAGTCAACTCCTTGAAGCATGTGATTGTGAGTGAAGAACAAATATTCTAAAATGAATTTATTTTTTTCTCACAAATTGCAAGGTTAGTTAAGACACTACTTTACTGAATAGCAATCATCTGGGAAAGCAGTTTAAGCACCGATAATCAGGAGTTATTCAGAAAGACCACAATGTAAAAGGCAACAAGTATCATAAAGAGCAAGTATGAGACAAACCTCTACTTGTAGGCACCACTTTTTCCTACACTTTGACATGGAAGAAATAGTGTTTGGCATGCAGAATCCTTCTTTCCTGAGAAAACATAGCACCCAAGCCTATTCCAAGGAGAACAGGTCTGATGTAGTGCAGTACCCAGCAACTGACTTTGCTTTGAATTCTGTACTCATTGTTTATTTGTTTTCACAATTACCCCTTAAGAAATAACACACACACACACATGCACACGCACATGCACACACACACTCACACATTCACACAGAAAGTTTTATAAAAACATTATGTAGTTAGAATGAATGAAAATCCTATGTTAAGCAGAGTTTCTATTCATTTCCAGTAGTTAGTGCTATGTGGTTATTAATGTCTGTTTTTCTCTTTATTTTTCTTTTATGAGAAAGAGAACTTATACATTCAGTTCTTTCAAACACTGATTAAATATTCTCCCCATCTGCATGCATGGACTATGTGGGGGCCCCTTCACTTCTGGGACTCAACCTTTCAACTGCCTTTGTCCACATTTGAAATCATGGCCTATGGATACCATTTGGCATTGTATTTCTTCTGGGGCTTTTTTTCTGATGGAGAAAGACAAGTTATCTTGTATTTGAGCAAGTCTACATCTTTTTAACTTTTATACCATACTTTATCTTTCTTTGTTATGTTTGAGATGAGATGGGAACTCAATACCACTTTCATAAGAAGCCCTCGGTCTCTCAGCTACACCATGTATCCTTGATTGGGAAGCCTTGCTTTACTGTTATTCAGCTCATTCTTCTCTATCTCATCTGCATGAACTGAATCTGTTTAATTCCCTGCTCATAGCACATGTCTACAGCAGTACTTTACTCTCTTGGTCTAGCAGCAGCAGGAAGAGTAGAAATTAGATTATTTTTGGCATATTTTTTTTCTTAGTAGACGTATGGTGTTTTCAAGCAATCAGCATTTTCTTTGCTCATGCTATGAAGACATCTATTTAATAATTTATTTTAGGATTTTTACCAAGAATGAATAATAGTCTCGCTGGTCTGAGTCTTCTGAGAGCTTTCATTTCTTTTTTAAAGTTAGAAAAATATGTGCTTGTAAGTCTTTGAAACTTTTATTCTCATGATTAGTAATACTATAGCCTTTTATAAATGGCACAAAACTGGAGAGAAAACTAAAATGCTTAGGAATATCATCCAGAAAAAAGATCTTGATAAATTAAAACAGTGAACTTCATGAAATTTT